GACAGGAACCCTGCTTCTTATTTCACCTGGCAACCCTACCCTCTCTCCAAACGAATGATCAGTTCCAGGACTGGCAATTCACCTTTTCAAAAGGTTGCAGGTCCAACCTTCCCCACACTGTTTAACTTTTTTAAAAAACTGTTTTCAAAATTTGGATTTCTGGCCACTTCTGGTTTTGATTTTTTTGTTGTTTGTTAAGTCTCCAGTGGTTCTGGGGAACAAAAATAAAATTTTAAAAACCTCCAAAGAAGGAGATTCCACCACACTCCAAGGCAGTGTGTTCCACTGTCAAACAGCACTTGCTGTCAGAAAGTTCTTCCTAATGTTTAGATGGAATCTCTTTTCCTGTAGCTTGAATTCATTGCTCCATGTCCTAGTCTCTGGAGCAGCAGAAAATAAGCATCTTCTCTATGAGTCACATTGTCTAGCTCAGGGGTAGGCAACCTTTCCCCTTTAAGGGCCGAGGGACTTCAGCTCCCAGAAGCCTCAGCCATGTTGGCCAATAGTCCCATTTTGGCCAATAGCTCCTGGGATTCTGGGAGCTGAAGTCCCTCGGCCCTTAAAGGGGAAAGGTTGCCTACCCCTGGCTAGCTCATATTTTGCTAGCTTTTTGCAAGAACATCACCTTGTCAAAGGCCTTACTGAAACCAAGATCGTGTACATCCACAGTATTGATTTCATCTACCAAGCTTGTAACTCTATCCCAAAAAAGAGAGATAAGATTAGTCTGGCATGACTAATTTTTGAGAAAAAAGGACCCTCACAATTCTTTATGGTTGCCCACACATAAGATAAAGAATGCCTGTTGCATGCAGCCATACCCTCCATCATTTCATAGATGAAAACTAGCACAAATGTGGCTGAGCGACATCAGACTATGGCCAAAGGGGTGCATCCTGGCCAGGCAACAAGAGTGCCCATGTTATGCCGGAGAAAGAGCCCACAAAACTACTATTTGAAGTACAAGAAACCCCCTGAAATGTACTGACATTAGGAAAGCGTGAAAAAAGAAAATAAATAAATAAATGAACCTACTGAAAAGGTAACATTCGTCCCTTCTTTTTCTCTTGCTGAGTTAATTGGGAGCAAATTACTTTTGCACTTTGAATTCTGACTGCAGCAATTGAAGTAAGCCAAGAATGAAAGAGGAGAGTGGAAGGAGGAGAGAGAAACTGGGACATTTTAAAAGCAGCTAAGAATGTGGGATGACAGAGGATGAACAGGGACTGTCCTTGCCAAACTGGTACAATTAGCCTGTATGTGATGGTGGCAGTGGTGGTGTGAATGATAGCAATGGTGGTGATGATGATGGATGCCTCTTTCTTCAAAAAGGGTCTACATTCTATTGATTAGGCCCAACTGGAATCCCATCCCAAATAGGAAGACACTTGTGAAAGTTGATACATTTTTTCAAAAATAAACCAAATCTAAATTCTCATCTATCTAGGCTGCCTAAATTCAAATGCTGGAACCCTGTTGGTGTCATAGATAACCCACCCCTTACACATGAGGCTTGGTGAAGAGAAGACTGAGATGTGACATGATCTCTCTCTTTAAATCCCTCAAGAGCAATCACAGAGAGGACGGAGCAGGCCAGTTCTCTGCTGCCCCAGAGGGTAGGATCTAGGACCAGGTTTGATGCATTACAGGAGAACAGATTTCAACTGGACATTAAAAGGAATTTCTTGACAGTGAAAGCAGTTTGGCAATGGAAGCAATTACCTGGAGAAGTGGTGGGGTCTCCTTGTTTGGCCATCTTCAGACAAAGGCTGGACAGCTCCCTGCTGGGGATGCTCTACCTAGAGATCCTTCATTGAGCAGAGGAATGGACTCAATGACCCATGAGCCTCCTTACCACTCTATGATTCTGTGATTCAATTGGACTGTTCTAGTCAGGACAATCAATATTCAAGTTTAACATTAATTTGTGTGGTGGTGGTGATAAACAGTCAGTGTCTCACCCTGCCTTTCAGAGGGTATGATCTTGAAAGGCAGACTGTGGATACCTTAAGGCCATGATCCAATGACAGACGTACAATATCAGACAACAGCAAAATTGGAATTCCCCCATACACACACACACACCTTCTCCTTTCTCTCCATGATGCCAAAGATCTTCCTTCCTGGAGCAGATTTTTAGGGTGCATGAGGGTGTCATAGGAGGGAGGAGTGATCACCAATTCTAGCAGAAGCAGTGGTATCAAACAGAGCTATATCTCTGTATCGTGGCCATGGTTGCTTAACAGCAGTAAGATGAAGGAGATTCTATAGCTTCCTAAAACCACACCTTTATCCTTTCCACTTCATTTTCTTTCTCTTTGTCCACAATTATACAATTACCATGTTTAGCAATAGACATGAAGAACATGTCATGCAGGATTATTCTGTTCCCTTACTGCAGTTATTCCCTACCCATCCACCCCGAGTTCATTCCATTCATATAGCAACCACTTCTCTGCACCTGGATTCAGAAGATCCTGCTATGGTGATGTGGAGGTGGAAGTTGCTTCTGTTTCACCAGAAAGTGAGCAGCTGCACACAATTAGAGCAACGGCTGACAACAAAGGCAGTGATGCTTCTGGCTCCCATGTCAAGGGGGTCTTGAGACCATTTTAGGTTTCAGTTAGCTAGCCAAGGTGCTGAACATATTTGAAAGACAGAGTTCAGAACCTCAGCAACTCCTTGAAGTTCACCCCCAAATCTGTATTCATTGTCCCACATAGGAACCACCAGCCCCATTGATTAAAGGCCTTCAATTACAAATTTTAGCATTTAAAACACATATGCAGGTGGATTCCCCCACTATTACCTGCAGAAGCAATGGACACAAGCAAGAGTGCAGTAACGCCAAGGAAGAAGGCCTTCATAGTGAATGATTGGATTGGAGCTCACAGTTGGTCAAGGTGGCAGACAATCTGATGAAAGTGACTTCAGCCAGAAAGTTTAATAAGGAAATCTGGTCTGGAGCTTAAGTATTTATGGAAGGCTAATTGAATCAAAAGGGAGGAGTCTGGTGATACCTAGACCAATGTCCCAGAACAGTAATATCATGTCGACTTGACCCCAGTCCCCATCTAGACATGTCCTCATTCTTGTGTATGTTATCAGTATACATTAAGAATGGTTCACTGCCAGTCTCTCACCCCCTCCAATATGGAATCACTTCCCCTTGTCCTGTCTGTTTGGGTTCAAGCAGATCAAGAGTACAGATCAAGTTGACAAACTGCCCATGAGAGGAAGAACATCGTGCACATCACAGAAGAGAACTGTGAGAAGGAACAAATCCTGAGATCCTGAGTGAAGATTACATTTCCAGAACAAAATGTGCACATGAGACAACATTAGGGTGTCATGATAGCAATGAAATAGGCAGCAGTGCACATGGTATATGGGGTGGGGGCATGTTCAACCTGGTGTGTAAGAAAACTGTTGCAAATAGTAAACAGCTTGCTAAGATCAGCCTTAGAGAGACCAGGAGCAGAACCCTGCTGTAATAAATTTACTAGACCAATTGAGGAGAAAGAATCTCATATTCATTCAAATCTTGATGACACCCTAATGGCAGTATCTGTGGAGGTATCTAGAGTACAGCACCACCCCTGTATCCACAGGGGTTGCATTCCAAGATGCCCTGTGGATATTGGAAACCATGGATAATAGGAAATCCTATTATTTTCAATAAGATGAACATCTTCCAGCCCAAGCATAGAATCACACTGAAGGACCTCAACATGTCTAGAGAGAACTCTTCTCTTGGCATGTCTAGGTCCTCCAGTGCAATTCTATAGTAAGCTTGGGGTGGTCATGCTGCCTTTGAGGGGAGGGCATTCTAGGATGCTTATGCTGCACTCCTGCATGGCTCAGCAGAAGTGTCTGGCTATGTCCTCATAATGAGATGCAAAGCAGTGACATCATCAGATGAGATCTGCTGGAGTCCTCTGGAAGTCTCCATGGCTGAGGTAATGATTTCATGTCTGGTTATGGGTACATAGAGTGCAGTAACGGAAAGGAAGAAGGCCTTCATAGTGAATGATTGGATTGGAGCTCACAGTCGGTCAAGGTGGCAGACAATCTGATGAAAGTGACTTCAGCCAGAAAGTTTGGTAAGGAAATCTGGTCTGAAGCTTGAGTATTTATGGAAAGTTAATTGAATCAAAAGGGAGGAATCTGGTGATAGCTAAACCAATGACTTCAGCAGCAATATGGTAGGTTAAGGGGGAGGGCTTCAGTCGCTGTGAAGGGAGGAAGGGTATACCAACCACCACAACAACCAAAAAGAAGAAGAAGAAGAAGAAGAAGAAGAAGAAGAAGAAGAAGAAGAAGAAGAAGAAGAAGAAGAAGAAGAAGAAGAAGAAGAAGAAGATATGTAGGCATAGGGTTAACTTAAGCATGTGCATGCCACTAACATGTCTAAAAGAAAGTAATTTTCCAAACTCTGCAAAATACTCACTTGGGGAAGAGGGGAAGGCATAATTCTTAGAATTACAACTTGAAGCAGGAGTTGGCAATTTACCCTTTTGTTTTCAAGACAATAATGTTCAATTAAGTGGAAAGCAGTAGGAAAAGAGGGAGAACACATTTCAGCTGAGCTGACTCAGTCAAAGGAGCCACAGCTGCCATGCATTTGCAGAACTTGGGCAGGACCATTGATGACCAGGGCTCTTGGAGGTTTCTCATTCATGGGGCCGCCATACATTAGAGCCAACTTGATGGCATAAAGCAGAAGAGAGGGAGGTCCATGGAGTCAGAGGTGCAAATAACACCCAGGAGGTTGGGATATATGTGGCTCCAGAGCTGCCCTTTGCCCACCCCTGATGTATATGAAGCCACTGGGTGAGGTGGTTAGCAGTTTTAGAGTTGGGTGTCATCAGTATGTTGGCAATTGTTGTTGTGTGCCTTCAAGTCAATTACAACTTATGGTGACCCTAAGGCAAACCTATCATGGGGTTTTCTGGAGCTGAGAGTGTTTGACTCATGCAATGTCACCCAGTGGGTTTCCATGGCTGAACAGGGAATCGAACCCTGATCTCCAGAACCATAGTCTGGTGCTCAAACCACTACACCACATTGACTCATATTTTGACAATACCCATTTATATTTCTGTCATCAGTTAAGGTTGTGCTTAGGCTGGACAAGTGTCTAGATACTGCAATGGACTAGATGGGGGCTGATAAATAATTTTATTTATTAATTGAATGTATACCCCATCATTGTCCCAAGATGGGATTCAAGGCAGCCTATTAGGATAAAGCTGAATCTGGGTAGGATAGAACCTGAATAGCCATTCCTCTGACCTGAGAACCTGATAAGCAGGTTGCTCTGGAAAGGACTGCACACATCCAAAATAGGAAGTGTGTAGTTTGGCATCTCTTCTGAATAAAATGCAGAAAACATAACAAATGGTGCAAGAGGGGGACTGCAGCCTAGAACTGGTAAAGAGGTAGTACAGGAACACTGAAACCTACTTTAAATGTATTCAAATCTACACAGCTGGATGAACTGCACCTAAAGATACCAAAGGAACTTGCAGATGCAATCTCAGAGCCTCTGTTAATAAACTTTGAGAACTCCTGGAGAACAGGAGAGACCCCAGCAAACTGGAGAAAGATGAATGTTGGTCCCATTTTCAAAAAAGCCGAGGGGAGAACTTAGGTAAATACCATATCAGGGGGAAAAAAATTCTAGACATCATCATTGAACAATCAATCTGTGAGCACTTACACACACACACCCCAAACTGTATGAATATGAAAAGCCAGCATAGAATCCAAGGCTATAGCCATGTTATTCTGGAAAATCAGTACAGTATGACTAACTAAGCCCCAAAACACACGGTCAAAAAAAGTGGCTTCCAGCCACTTGGAGGTCATGGCATGAAGATGACACATGGCCCTGAAGTGGCCAGAAGCCACTTTGAGGCCACTTAAGGCAGATCATATGGGATCACGTGGCCTGCTTTCAGTGGATTTTGCATCCTTTGACAATGAATTTGCAAACTTGTCACATGTATCTCTTTTGCCTGAATCAGTTGAGCAGAGCTAGCACAAAAGAAGAGGAAATAAGGCCATGAACAATGGCAGCTGAAAATACGAGTGGTATGCATTGTTTTGGGCAACAGCAGGTGAAAAGAGGCATTTACAAAAAGGACAACATTTACATCATCAGCTTCATGATGACATTTATATGCAGATTTTGCAAACATCCACATTACATTTTCTTAGGTGAGCTTCCTATAAAAGAACCCAACCATAACCACCATTGAGCTTCATTATTTCCCAGAGATTTGGAGATCCAACCCATCAGTCCATCATGCGGGCTCTTTATCTTGTGATGGTTGTCACAATGTTGGTTGCCACTGCCATGAATGTTGAAGGCAGGCACTGAACTTCTACAGGGTAGGAAGAATGGGCAGTATTAGATTTGACAAAGAAATTGATCACTTGTAAAGCTGCCAGTACCAAAATGCCTTGATAGAAATCTTAAAGGTAACCATGCTAAAACTGTGTTTAGAGTTCTGGTAAGCACACCTCAAGACCACCATACAGAAAGTGACCAGATTCTTGGATCAACTCTTTCAAGAAGGAATGGGCTTGACTCCTATTGGTATTCCCAACTAGAGGAAACCCCTTGAATCAATGGATTTTAAATTAGTGTTGAATTGCCATTCAGCAATTGATTCAATGGGTTTACTTTAGTTGGGACAACTACTAGGATTCAGGCCATGGGATTCTTTGTGTGCATGTGCCTTCAGGTCTCCTGTTGACTTATGATGATGAATTTCATAGGGTTCTCTTAGCCAAGCACATCCCAAAAGGACATTGTAAGAATGGAGAAGGTGCAGAAGGAGCCAGGAAAGTTGTTGGAACAACTCCTTCGAGAGGAAAATTGACAACACAAGGGCCTGGATCCTATTGGTACTCCCATTATTGAATCAGTGGATTTTAAATAAGCGCTGAATCCCCATTCAGCAATTGATTCTATAGGTCTATTTTAGTTGGGACAACTAGTAGGATTCAGGCCATGAGATTCATTTTATGTATGTGTCTTCAAGTCACCTATCAACTTATGGTGAACCCATACATTTCATACAGTTCTCTTAGGCAAAGAATTCTCAGAGGTGGTTTTGCCACTTCCCTCTTCAGAAATATAACCTACACCACTTGGTATTCATTGGCCGTCTCTTATCCAAGTACTAACCAGGGCTACCCTGCTTAGCTTCCAAGATCAGACAGAATCTGGTTCCTTAAGAATATTTAGGCCCTTAGCTTACAGATCATAAAAGCCCCCCTCCCTTTTTTGGGCTTAAAATCAGTTTCCAAAAGCTCACTGGAAAAGGAAGGTTTTAATCTGTTCCTGAAAGGAAAACGAGGAAGGAACCATCTTAACTTCCATAGAGAAGAAGTTTCTAAGTGTGAGATTAGCCACAGAGAATCCCATGACCGAGAAGCATCTTCTGACAACTGTCCACCAAGAGTCCAGTATCTCCCACTGAGAATTCTCCCCTTTTTGCCACTGTGTTGGCCTAGGGACTGGAAGTACCAACCCCAAGGCATAACTTTGACCTGTTTCGACCCATCCAAACTTTTGTCCTCCCTCCTTTCTTTGCATGGTCCATGCCACTATCTCATGGTGAACACAAGACTTTGAGTTCATAATTTTCCCACCTCTTTACATGGATTCCCAGAGCTGTCATTGAGGGTATTCTTCTCCATGACTCTTGTACATCCTTGAAATCCTCCTTTTTAATTATAAGCACTTGCTGAAACATTCCCACCACACACACTTGTATTCAAAATATATTCAAAATACAGAAGAGAACATAAAAACCCAGCAACTCCAGCAAGGGGAGTCAGTTGCAGTTGAGTTATAGGCTTCAACATAAGGTATTGCAGAACAGGCTTCAACATAATAATGTTGACCATGACTAAGAAGGGTTGAAGAAGAGGAAGGGTGCCATCCCACCATCTGAAAAGAGCCAAAGAGGAGTTGCCACCACTGCCCAGCTGGCAAGAAGTCATCTTGTTCGTTCCTCTTCAATAAATGCATGTGAATTCACCAGTCATCTCCTGCGTCCTTCCTTGGGGGAGAGAAGGGAAGGGGTGGGTGGATGGGTGGGTGGGTGGAGGACATGGGAAATTATGGGGACATTGAAGATATTAATTGTTCTCTTACTTAGAATCATAGAATCATAGAGTTAGAAGAGATCACAAGGGCCATC